TACGTGGGGACTGTGGGAGAAAAGTCCCTGTTTTACTGAAGCCCTCATTTGAGTCGGCTCTGGAGCTTCTAGTGGATTCTCGTGAGGCATGTGGGATCACCAGTAAGAATCCCTTCGTCTTTGCCCGACCAAATGCTCTATCTAACTACAGGGGGACAGATTGTCTTCAAGGATTTATCAAAGAATGTGGAGCTCAAAACTCTGAAGGTCTGACATCAAAAAATGTCCGCAAGCATTTTGCAAAAATGTTACAACTGATGAACCTGGATGAAAATGAAGCCAACCAAATTTTTGGGCCTAATAACAAAATTCAGATCCTGCGGCAGTGCAATGACTCCACACTGGATGATATTGAAATGGATTCTGAAGGTAATAAGGCTTATAAAAAGCAGGCCTACACTACTTTAGACTAATTGGCACTGGTTCCTGACTCCCATCACTAGCTAGAAATATAAGAAAAAAGTAAGAAAGTTGGATATTTTTAACTGGTTAAAAAAAACGTATGCCATGAGCTACTCAGTTGTGATTGTTTGCGGAAGGCAACATGCTGAGTGAATTTATAAAGCTGGAGTCACTCAGTTAAGTTAAAAAAACAAGTGTGTAAATCCTGCAATTTATTTGAAGAAATGTGTGTATACGTGCGGGGATTGCTGAGAGAAAACATCTTTTTGTCTTTAATCCAGCTGACTCGTGGGATCATAGTGAAGGCAGACCAGCATCTCTTAATCAACAAAAACATGGAGGAAAAAGTGCCAACAAATCTATCAGAGGTAATCATGGTGAACTTTAACAGACTTTCTCACGTTTCTTTTTCATTTTTAGCCAAAAAAAACAGGACAGAAAAAAGTAATAAATGGCAGCTAAGTCATTAAAAAAATAGCAGGTAATGAAACAGTAAAAGAAGCAAAAGATTTGTTAAGCTGTTGTGTTCAAAATGTTCCAAAAGAGGTGCGCTCATTGGCTTTTTTGCTGTTGAAAAACCTGAACGTAAAAAACATTCTCACTGTCATCAACTGTCAGATGATTCTGTCCTCGATTATGCTCTCTGCATCCGTGAGTGCGCTTGGGTCCAAGTGACTTAATATTCATGATAAGTTAAAAGGGTCTGTGCAGACGTCCGTGTGCATTGTGTTTTGTGACTGTGTTGATTCTTTCTATGCATTTACTGCTTAATATCTAAGCATGTTTGTAAATATGTAAATGTGTGCAAATTGCTCCAATATGAGATTTGACATCGACTGTATCAATAAATAAGGGAGAACTGAGTGATGGTGGAGGTGTAGCAGGAGAGGATGGGATTCAGAGAGAATCTGTGGAAGAAAACCTGCCACCAAGCAGGTTGATTTCAGTCTGTTACCCCAGTAACTGTCAGATAGTTTAA